TTCTAGAAGATATGAAAAAAAAAACTGTGTAGAATGAGAAAGTGAAAGAAGCTGTGGCTAAGAAAAAATGCAAACAAAGGAACCATTGCTGAAAAAAAAGTAATGAAGATACACTGATATAATGTTTATAAAGAGAAAAACAGGAACTGAAATAAAACAAGGAATAGTTAAGAATGGTAAAGAAAGGGGAAAGTGCACTGGTTTGGATGGAGAGAAGGAGGAATGGGATAGTGGGTAGTGAGGGAGAAACAAGAATCCTCTAGGAATTCAAATTTAAAATTATGAAATTATTTTGAATGAAACTGGAGGAAGGAAATACTAGAAGAAACGTTTTAGAGTTCTGTATGAGAATGATTCCCCCTACATTACTGATATGCTGCTTCATTGTGCAAGGAGGGTGCGACAGAATGTTCCTAGGAGGGAAGAGCAGACAGCTCCAGTTGTATATAGCCTTCAACTTACAACAATTCATTTAGTGGCCATTCAAAGCCACAACGGCAATTAAAAAAGAGACTTATGACTGTTTTTCACACGACCTTTGCAGCATCCTCATGATCGTGTGGTAAAATTTCAGGTGCTTGGCAACTGGTTCATAGTTATGACCGTTGCTAGGGCCCAAAGTCATGTGATCACCTTTTGCGACCGTCTGACAAGCAAAGTCAATGGGGAAGCCAGATTCACTTAACATCCATGTTGCTAACTTATTAACTGCAGTGACTCACTTGACAACTGTGACAAGAAAGGGTCGTAAAATGGGGCAAAGCTCGCTTAACAAATGTCTCACTTAGCAACATAAATTTTGGGTTCAATTGTGGTCGTAGGTCGAGGACTACCTGTATCGTCCCAGAAGGGTCACCAGAATGTGAAGGTCATCCCAGCTGCCAAGTGGGCCCCTGTATAGGGATACAAGAAGATTCTGGAGGAAAATGATCCTCTTTAGCAACAACAGCACATACATCATTCGATGCTGCACAGGAGAAAGTAATGGTAAAACCACCCCTGTAGAAAACCTCACAGATTGACAATATAAAATGACTGGTGATATAATGCCAGATATGGGCCCCCAGGTTTTTAATCATTTTAAAAGGTGCAAAATTGCACACCAGGGATATTTGGCGGCATGATTTTAGGTCATTACAGGGAGAGATTGAATATATATGAAGTAGATTTGCCTACCCAAAATCATACCACTGAAAAACCAATCATTTTCCTGCTGGATCTCAGTGAGGTGATCTCAGCATGCTAGAATGTCACAAAGGAAACAGAGTTGACTGAAGGTGTCCTGCAGATTGCCTACATTGGCGTAAAGGGAAAGCATTATTATTCAGATGAAAAAGAGACTTAAGGGTATACTCCTCTGCCTCCATTAAAAGACAAAATCACTAGACTGATTATCTAATGTTCCTCATCTCCCCTATCTTATGGATCAACTCAGTTGCCTTGGTAAGCATCCATCACTGCTATAATCCCCATGTTGCAAAATGATCAGACAGCAATGTGACTCAAATGCCTAGTGAAAGAGCTTGCCTGAAGAGAGCTGAATACAGCCTAAGAAATAACAGCATCGTCCAAATATCACCCAAGAGTCACAGAATGCCAAATTGGGTAGTCAGTCAGTCCAAATGGCTGAGTCATGAATAAGATGCAAAAGCTCAGAAATCAAAAAGGTATCTCCAACAAAGACTGTGAGCAAGGGAGCTATTTAAATCTCTGTAGCCAGCTGGCTGCACTTACATATGTCTTGCCCTATGTTTTGAGAGAAGCCTCATTAAGGAATGTTGCTCTGCTTACATCTCGATTTGTCTAGACCTGGGTCTTAGGGGTTGGGCCTCGTCATCTGACTGCTCCATCTGAACAGAAGATTACCATGGTTGATCATCCTCACTTGAATCCTGGCTTCCTGATTCCTGAGACTGACTATCCTGAAGGACAGGCTCAGCTGGAGCAACATTGTCAGATTCCAGGTCAGAGTCAGTCTCTGAATCATGGATTATAACAACTGCTGTGTTGACTGAGTAGAGCTTGAAAGAGACCACGTAACAAAATCTTCCTCTTCACTATGATATTTCTGTATCACAACAACATCCACTTGACCTACTGAAAGAACTACCATCTCTTTCTTTGCCATATGATAGCAATGCCTACTGGCATAGAAAATACCACCATATAATTAACTCAGAGTCTTTCTGCTACCCTCTCTGATGCATGTCATAAGCTTCCTTTTTTGTTACTGTGACTTTGTGCTTGTTTGGCTTAGGTTATATATGCCCTACTAACATAAAGCAGCATTGATTGGTGCCAAAATAACAGTAATTCAGAAATAATTTACATCATTTTAATAATGACTTGTTATGCGGGTGTTATAAATCACTCGTGGGGAAATCACTTCAGTGCATTACCCCACCCATTATAACTTATGAGATGTTATAGGAAAACAGAGTTTAAATACCTTGATTAATTAACAAGGTTGGGGTTTTCCAAATTGTGTTCTGGGAAACCCTAGGATTCCACAAGAACTTGATGAGTTGCTTAATGGACTTGGGGGTAGGGGGAAGTTCGATTAAACACAGCCAGGAGCATTGATAGCAATTTTTCTAAGCCTTAGAGGAGAATGTTGGCTTATTTTCTAGATGGACCTTTTCCTCTTGATCAGGGAATCTAGGATTTTTTTAAACTAACAGGATCTTTATCCTGAAGAATTCTGAAAGACCCTGACTTGGGTCAATTTGCCATCATCACTGTTCATGCACCAACATTTTACAGAATATTCTTGTGTAGAAAGTGGATCTTCAAATGACACTGCAGTGGAAATAATTTCTACCATTAAAGCTATTAAGGTAAGTGTAATTGCCATTAGAGATCAGTTCCATTGGGAGGTCAAAATCCCTAGGTCCAGTCACTCAGTATATAATGTCTCTTCCAATATTAGCCATTGCAGAGAAAGAGTTCAAGAATTAATCCAGGTCACCTTCGTGATTCTCTCCTTCAGGCATTTCCTGCATTTATATCATCAGAAATGGCATCTTTGACAATAAATAAGCAAATGCATCTTCTTCAGCAATGTGAAACAAAAATTTCAAAGTAACTGGAAGAGGAAAAAGAGCTAGCAGAGCATAAGAGAATGGGTAGGTTAAAAACAGCATTTATCTAACTATCCCAAGGTTCTACCTTAATGATCCCATCACTGCCCTCTGCCATTAGATGAAATGAATTGGCAAAGAAGGGCAAAATATCTTTGTTTTCTATCTTCCTTTTGATATTGGTTTAAAGCCAAGTTTTGAAAATGTGTACTGTTTGTATCCCAGAGGTGAGTAGAATCGCAGCAACATAATTTACCATTTCTCTTGATGTATTTCTATTTTTTTCCTCCCATTTAAATTCTAGTTTAGACTCTGAAAAATAAAATGGTGTTGCCAACAACCCCAGGTGTTCATTCTGGATGCATCACCTACTTTCAATATTGCAAATAAAGCACTGAAACAGATGCTTCCAGTTATTTATGGGCTAGGTATATCTGAACAGTACTTAGTGCTCCATATTGTGAAAGTGAAATTCTCAACCTTTCTGCTTTGCTTTTTACAAACATCTTCCTCAACGTTGCAATTATTCCAGTTGTTGTTCAGTTGATAGGCTGTGCCTGATTCTTCGTGACCCAATGGACTATTATATACCAGATGCTCCCTGTCCTTCCTTGTCTTCCAGAGTTTGCTCAAATTCATGTTAACTGCGACAATGACACCATCTAACCATCTCTATTCTCCTCTTCTCCTTTTGCCTTCAATCTTTCCAACATCAGGGTATTTTCGAAAGAGTCCTCTAATTATTGTAGTTAACTACAATGGTTAACTAAAATAGTTAACTACAAATAAACACCATTCTACCAATAAGCACCTTTAGAAATCATTTAATTAATAGCAGTTTTCAGGAAACTATGGGTGAAGAAACTATCCCTTACAGGCTTAGCTTTCTCATACATTGTAAAAATCCCAGAATTTCCAGTGATTCATTTAATACCATATGTAGTTTGTACTTGAAATAAATCTAGAGCATGTCTTAGTATCAAGAATACCCATATATGCTGCTGTTACAGTTCTTCACATCACTCATGATTCTTGGCTATTACAAGGACAGGTCCATGCAGTTTCCTTGGCAATGGAAATCATTGGCCATTGCCTTCTTTATAGGACTATGAAAAATATTACCACTAGTGTTCTATAGAAGAAATGTGTAAGTTTTCAGTTGCATGTGCTGAGAGTCAAAGGAATCCGGCACCTCACCAGAGCATTTCCTACAGCCAGTGGTGGGAGCAGCCTCTGAAACTTCGGGTTAGGTATGAGTATTATTATGGGGGATAGGCTGGGGGGAACACTACTGACCTGTGGCAAACATTTCAGTTCTAATTTGCTCTCATTTTGTGGATATATTTCTTGTTGGGGTTTAGTTGGAGAATAGAAAAACAACTGCTTCAACAACTTGCTCAATAGAAAAACAACTGCTTCAATCCTAGTTAACTTTCATTATTTGCATGTATCTCTTGACTGAGCTTTAGGCCAACATAACATCATCCTAATTAGATCTCAATTGGGGTATAATAGCAATATTGCCTAGCAGCTATTGCAATTTTATATCCTTCAAACCTATGGAAATAGATAAATATAAACCTGTAAATCTATATACAGCCTTAGATTTTAGTTTGATTCAGTTTTTGTTTCCTCTCTTGATGAGAATGGGTTCTTTGTTAGTGTGCTTAGTGGAACTTAAAATATAAAGTCTGAAAACTACTGTTTTAAGTCATGTATCCAGAAAAATGGGCGCCATTTTCTCAACCTTTTCCTAAAATATTCAGGCAACGTTCCTAATGCCCAGGAATCTAGAGTCTTTCCCTAATTGAGAAAATCTACAAAATGGTCTTTATTAGTTTGCAATGTCCAGGAATATGGAAGGAAGTTATACTGATAACATAAATATTTCCTTCTTTTTCCTACAAAATATAGGAAGCCATGGCCATGAAGAATTATACCGGAGTGCATGAATTCATTTTTGTTGGATTTAGTGATTTGCCAAACCTACAGATCCCACTCTTTGCTTTTTTCCTAATGGTATATATTATCACAGTGATTGGAAATGCTGGGATGATCCTATTAATCAGGATGTGCTCACAACTTCATACCCCCATGTACTTCTTCCTAAGCAATTTGTCTTTTGTAGATCTCTGTTACTCTTCTGTTGTCACACCCAAAATCCTACTAGACATGGTTGTAAAGAAAAGAAATATTTCACTGACTGGGTGTGCTCTACAAATGTGGTTTTTCTGTCTCTTTTTAGCCACTGAATGTTTCCTCTTGGCTGTAATGGCATATGACCGGTATAAAGCCATTTCCAATCCACTTTTATATACAGTCATCATGTCACCGAGATTGTGTACCAGATTGGCAATCATTCCTTACCTTGTGGGAATGCTAAATGCTACCACACATACAACTTTATCTTTTCAACTGACCTTCTGTCATGGCAATATAATTAACCATTTCTTCTGTGATATCCCTGCAGTCATATCCTTATCCTGTTCAGACACTCAGTTCAACAAGGGAGTACTTTTTGGTCTATCTTGCACCTTTGGTATTGTAAGTACTTCTATTATTGTTGTTTCTTATACTTACATTGTTCTAGCTATCCTGAGAATCCACTCCAATGAGGGCAGGCGCAAAGCTTTTTCGACCTGTTCAACCCATCTCACAACAGTATCTATCTTTTATGGAACCCTGTTCTTCACCTATGTGAGACCCAGCTCCTTCTCAATGGTGGAAGAGGACAAAATTATCTCCATGTTCTACACTGTGGTGATCCCCATGTTGAACCCTTTGATCTATAGCTTGCGGAACCAGGATGTAAAAGAAGCAATCAGGAAATTGACTACGAGTAAAAAGTTCCACACAAAATAAAAAAGCATGTCCTATAATCGATTCTGTTCTTGATTGATTAATTATGTACCATCAAGTAATTGTTGACTCTTAGCAACTGCAGCTAGATTTTCTTCATGATGATCTGTCCCTAATCTGCTCTTTCATGTCATTTATCACTATAACTGAGTTCACCTATCATACTGCTGGACATACTTTCCTTGTCTTTCTTTTTATATTTCCCACCTTGGAGGCTTCTGTGGAAAGTTCATCTTTTTCAGGAAGAATTTGAGATATTGTAGAAGTGCTGCTCAAAATAGCCTAGTTTGTGTGATCCGGTCTTGAGTTACAATGGCTTATTTTAGCCTCATATATTAATTTTGTTCCAGAAGTATCATTGTTGTTTATTCTATCATTATTTTGTGTTTTTCCTATTATAGAGATTGTAAACTGACCTAAATATAAACTAATCAATTGTCTATTAATGAGATTTCAAAGGATTGCAAAATATCTGTATTCTCAAAACAAATCTCTGAAAATATCAGTAATCTTGTGGAAATATCATAAGATTTTGATGAATTTGGAGGCGGGTGGATGAGACCACACAGAGACATATAGAATTTTGAAAGGTTGACAATGGCTTCATTAATTTCTCATGTTTGCTTATTGTGCTACCTAAAGTTAATTTGCACCTTTATTAATAAAAATACCTCTACGTTGCCTTCATTTCTGTTCTTTATCTAGTCTGGAACTCATGAGTTCTGCCTAAAAAAGAGAGAAATCTGACTTATAGCCTTTCATTTGGAAATTATAACTCATCCAGAATGCAGCAGAACACAAAATTCTTGGCACCCCAGAGTTCTCCCACATTATGTCATTGCTATATGAGATCCACTGCCTTCCATTTTCTTTCCAAGTGTCATTAAAGATTATCACATATAAAGCCACCATTTTTAAACAGAACAGAATCAGAGGAATTATGGAATGAACTTAAAGATGTTGTAAAGGATGAAGGTCAAAAATGAAAAGAAGAAGAAGAAAGCAAGCAAAGGGCCAGCACAAAGTCCAGAAATTGCCAAGAAACAAAAAGAGAAACCAAGAAAAACAAGAATTTCAGAAAGGAATTAAACAAAAGTTTAATGGTTAAACCTGTTATAACACCTGTTATAAGAGACAAAAAGCAGTATAACAACAACTTCTATGAAGATACTGAAGATGGAAAAATAAGATTTCAAAACATCTCTGAACTCAAAAGGAGGATTATATCAAACTGTTATGTTATTTTTTTTTTAAATATAGTTTATTAATTTTTACAATTAAAACCAGTCACAATACATACACAAATAAGCAAAAGAAAGAAAGAAAGAAAAGAAAGAAAAGAGAAGAGGAAGAGAGGGAAAGAATTTTAAGAAAAGAAAGAAAGAAAGAGGTTACAGGATTAAAAGTATTCTTATTTTAACAGTTTGCAAGATCTTCTTTTGTTTTCATCACCTTAACTTGTGTCATATAACCACACCTGTTTTTAACTTATATCGCTACCTCGTTATTATGTATTGATACTTTTCTTTTATGCCTTATAATATATTATTTATCTTTGGTCAATCCAATTATACCAACAATTCCAGCTGTCATAGTATAGTGAAGTGTCTTTGTTTTTTAGCGCCAAAGTCAATTTATCCATTTCTGCGCATTTTGAGATTTTTTCAATAATCATTTCTTCTGATGGAATTTGGTGTTGTTTCCAATGTTGAGCGAAGGCTAATCTGGCCGCTGTTAAAATGTGTATTGTTATGTATTTGGTTTTTTTGGAAATTTGCTTATCAAAAATCCCTAGTAGGAAGGACTCTGGTTTGTATTCGATCTGCTCTTTGGTGATTTCTTCCAACCAAGTTTTGATTTTCTTCCAATACTTTTGGGTTTCTGCACAGGACCACCACATATGGAAAAAGGTTCCTTCTTTTTTCCTACACTTCCAGCAATGCGGACTCATGTTGGGGTGCATCTTCGCTAACCTCGAAGGGGGGAGATGCCATCTGTAAAACATTTTATAAAGATTTTCCTTGTATGCTGCCGATTTGGTAATCTTATTGTTTCTGCCCCAAACTTTCTCCCATTCCGCTAATGTGATGCTGCGCCCTACGTTCTTACTCCAAGCAATCATATTTCCTTTTACAATTTCTTCTTCTAGTTCTGTTTCTAATAAGTAGTTATAAAATTTTGTTATGTTTTTTTTATTTGATCCTAATAAAATTTTATCTAACTGTTGCAGTTTGTTATTAATTCCGAATTCTTTTTTGTCTTGTTTATATCTGCTTTGAATCTGAAGATAAACCCATTGATCAATTTTATGTCCTTGCTCTTGAAGATCCAGCCTCGGTTTCAAATTTCCTTGTGGGTCTAATAAGTCTTTGTATTTAATCATTTTGGTAAGCTCCAAATTGTTTGGGTGAATCATTGCCTCCATTGTTGAAATCCATACTGGTACTTTTGTATAATGTTTTTTCCTTATTTTCCTCCAAATTGTTAATAGTGCGTCTCTAATTAAATGTCTATGGAAATATTTTTGACTGGTTTTCCCTACGTCCCATAGAAAGGCGTGCCACCCCCTTTGTAAATCATGGCCTTCTAGAAATAGTATTCTTTTATTGGTTAAATTCACCCAATCCTTCAACCAAACTAATGAGGTGGCCATATGGTATAACTCCCAGTTTGGAAATGCTAACCCTCCCCGGCTCTTCATATCCTGCATTGCTTTTACATTTATTCTGGGTTTTTTCCCTTGCCAAATAAATTTCAGGGTTGTTCTATTGAGTTCTTCAAAAAACTTTTTATGTAATTTAATTGGGATCGTTTGGAATAAATACAAAAATTTAGGGAGAATGTTCATTTTAATAGTAGCAATTCGGCCTAGTAGTGAAATTTGAAGTTTCCCCCACGATTCTAAATCTTTCTTTACCTGATGTATCAGTTTATCATAATTGTTTTCTTTAAGTGTCTTACAGTGTGGGGTTAGCCAAATTCCTAAGTATTTCACTTTCTTTGTCACTTGTATCTGCATTATTTCTTCTAGTTCTATTTTCTGTTTTTCTGTTAGGTTTTTGGTCATTAATTTGGTTTTTTTTTTGTTTATTTTAAGTCCCGCTACTGCTCCAAATTTCTCTAATTCACTCATCAATTTTGGTCCCCTGTCTTTTGGTTCTTCAAGGAAGAAAATCATGTCGTCCGCAAACGCTTGCAATTTATATTCCTCTTTCTTAACTGTTAATCCCTTTATATCTGAATTCCGCCTAATTTGTGTTAATAATGTCTCTAATGCTAATATGAAGAGCAGGGGAGAGAGTGGGCAACCCTGTCTCACTCCTTTTTCTATCTTTATTGGGCGGGTGCATTCCCCATTCACTATTATATTAGCTTGTTGTGTGTCATATATAGTTGTTATAATATTTTCAAATTTGGTACCCAGATTCAAATTATAAATTTTTTGAATTAAAAATTGCCAATTCAAATTATCGAAAGCTTTTTCTGCATCTAGAAACATGAGTGCTACTTGTCTCTCTGGGTGGGCTTCATAAAATTCTAGTACGTCTAATACTATTCTTAGATTATTCTTTATTTGCCTAGTTGGAAGGAATCCATTTTGATCTTCATGTATATACAAGTTTAGCAATCTTTTTAATCTGTTTGCTATAATAGAAGTGAATATTTTATAATCGGTATTTAAGAGTGAAATCGGCCTGTAATTGCTTATATATCTGGGATCTGTATCCTCCTTCAGGATCAGCGAGATCAGTGCCCCCCTCCATGAGTCCGGCATCCTAGCTGCTAGTAAAACGTCATTAAAAATTTCCACCATAAGTGGTCCGATTTGATCTGCTATTGCCTTGTACAGCTCCCCTGGGATCCCGTCTGGGCCCGGGGTTTTATTATTTTTCTGGCTCTCTATTGCTGATTTCAATTCCGATTCAGTAATGTCTTTATTTAATAGTTCAGCCATTTCTTCCCCAATTGCCTTATCCTTTACTTCATCTAAATAATTCCTTATTCTATCTTCACTGACATCCTCTCTTTTGTATAAATCTTCAAAGTATTTATGAATGATTTCTTTTTTCTGTTCTATTTCCTGGTATGTATCTCCTTTGCTATCTATTAACTGGTATATCAGTCTCTTCTCTTTCTTTTTTTTCAATTTATAAGATAGCCATCTTCCTGGCTTGTTGGCATGTTCAAAATAGATTTGTCTAGTTAAGTTCAAATTCATAGTCATTTTCTCTTGATCAATTAAATTCAATTTGTGTTTGACTATACTTATCTGATTTTGCAGTTTGGATTCTTTTGGGTTATTTTGTAGAAGGGTTTCTAGCTCCTTAATTCTCTGTTGTAATTTGTTTTGTTGGGAATATTTTTCCTTGTTTCTCTTAGCATTATAAGAGATTGTTGTGCCTCTTATAACCGCCTTCATCGTATCCCAGACATTTTGTTTCGTGGTTTCTCCGTTATCATTTTCTTTAATAAAAAAAATCAATTCCTCCTTTAATTTATTAATATATTCTTTCTCTCTTATTAATTGAGTGTTTAAGGTCCATCTTTTCTTTGGTTTTGCCCTGCCCTTCCATATTACCTGTATTGGATTATGGTCTGCCCATTCATTAGGCAAAATTTCCACTTCTTTTGTCTCATTTGCTATCTCTCCA